CCTGGCATGATTTTCAAGCCACCAGGTCTGGGACCTGAACTGCGATTGACACTGTGGGAGTCTGCACCTTTTTTTTTTTTTTTTTAAAGAATTATTTTCTTTAACTTGATTTTATTTATTTATTTCAGTTTGACCAGAGAGGGACACAGAGGGAGGGAGAGAGAGAAAGTGAGAAAGCAAGCTGCCAGGGCCAGGACTCGAACTGTAGTCGGCCCTGTGTGAGTCCAGTGCCCTTAACCACCACGGCTCCTCTGTTGGCCCCTCCAGAACCTTTAACTACCATGCCACCTACTAGCCTCACATTACTGCTACTTTAAATAGTAGTTTTATTATTATTATTTTTCAGTTTGCTACAGGGCATGCGTCAGGGACGGCTCCTCGGGCAGCACGGAGCCCCAGCACGTCCGATGCTCGGCATGGATGGACCGCGTTTTTATTTAAGCAGTCCTTTATTGATGACATTTAGATTTTCCCGGTCTGCTATCACAATCTCTCTTTAAGTTTTAGCTATAGGAGACATGCTTCGGCCAGAGACAGAGGAAGAGAAAGAAAGAGAGAACTCACCCCCTGGGGTGATAGCCATGCCTAAATCCCTTCTCCTCCACTCTGGTTCTAGGATCTTGGGCACGCATGCACGTGTGCCTGGCATGATTTTCAAGCCACCAGGTCTGGGATTCAAACCACGGTCGGCCATGTGGGAGTCCAGTGCCTTAACCACCATGCCACCTGCTGGCCCCTAAAACCTTCTTCCGTGAGACACCCATTCCAAAGTGTTGACAGAAAAGAACGCCTTGCACTAGCAGAGGTCTCCGGACACAAACCTGGGCCTTCCCACATGGCTTGGCCTCGTAAGAAGTGCATGTCACTGCCGCACGCCTGCCCTGCCCTGCAGATCTTCACCTGCACCTGCCGCTGTAAGAAGCCATACGACGAGGTGACAGCATTTCTCAGCTCTGGGAATCCTGGCGGGTCACAGCACCTAACGGTGGCCTCGGACCCCACAGAAGCGAGAAGTGCACTCTGACCATTATCGACCGCAGTTTGAGTCCCAGACCTGGTGGCTTAGACTCATGCCAGGCACGTGTGCATCCTTGCCCAAGATCCCAAAAGGAGAATGGAGAAGGGATTGTGGTGTGGCCATCCCCCAGGGGGTGATTTCTCACTTTCTGTCTTTCTCTCCGGCAAGTGCTTGGACCCTGTAGCAAAAATCTCTCTTTAAAAAAGAAAATAAGAAATATATATGTATTTTGCCATAATACTTTGTTGTGGACTTTCGGTCAATGTTTTGTTAAAGATCTTCTTGTTTTGGGTTTCTAATTTGTTATAGATGCCGATACTGTTTATAACTGTTGATTTTTAAAAACGTCTAGGATTTATGAGAAATTCATCGTCCATTCTGATCTCAGCAGAGCTGAGAGCTGGAAGAGGTTAACTGAGGCGTTTCTGAACGCACCGCTCCCCAGCGTACAGCAAGTGAAGGTACGAGGCCGCCGTCGGCTACTCCCGGGTTCAGGTCTGACCCACGGCTTGTCCCTGTTAACGCCGAGACACTCGCTCTGTCCAGTGTTGTCCACTGGCTAGAGAGGGCCGCCTGGACATTGGATTGAATGTTGCTGTCCACCCAGGCATGCGCCGGCTGATGAAAGGAAGCGCACACGCGTGTTTAACCGTCTTCCGCACCTTGCACCGTGCGTAGGAGTACGTGGGGCCGGCGCAGAGAGTGGCGTTCTGGGTAGCTTCAGACTCGGGGATGTCTTCTCTCCGGCACTTGCCGGAGAGAAAGACAGAAAGTGAGAAATCACCCCCTGGGGGATGGCCACACCACAATCCCTTCTCCATTCTCCTTTTGGGATCTTGGGCAAGGATGCACACGTGCCTGGCATGAGTCTAAGCCACCAGGTCTGGGACTCAAACTGCGGTCGATAATGGTCAGAGTGCACTTCTCGCTTCTGTGGGGTCCGAGGCCACCGTTAGGTGCTGTGACCCGCCAGGATTCCCAGAGCTGAGAAATGCTGTCACCTCGTCGTATGGCTTCTTACAGCGGCAGGTGCAGGTGAAGATCTGCAGGGCAGGGCAGGCGTGCGGCAGTGACATGCACTTCTTACGAGGCCAAGCCATGTGGGAAGGCCCAGGTTTGTGTCCGGAGACCTCTGCTAGTGCAAGGCGTTCTTTTCTGTCAACACTTTGGAATGGGTGTCTCACGGAAGAAGGTTTTAGGGGCCAGCAGGTGGCATGGTGGTTAAGGCACTGGACTCCCACATGGCCGACCGTGGTTTGAATCCCAGACCTGGTGGCTTGAAAATCATGCCAGGCACACGTGCATGCGTGCCCAAGATCCTAGAACCAGAGTGGAGGAGAAGGGATTTAGGCATGGCTATCACCCCAGGGGGTGAGTTCTCTCTTTCTTTCTCTTCCTCTGTCTCTGGCCGAAGCATGTCTCCTATAGCTAAAACTTAAAGAGAGATTGTGATAGCAGACCGGGAAAATCTCAATGTCATCAATAAAGGACTGCTTAAATAAAAACGCGGTCCATCCATGCCGAGCATCGGACGTGCTGGGGCTCCGTGCTGCCCGAGGAGCCGTCCATGTTCAGCCACACCGTCCCACTCTGAGGACGCACCAGTCACGCTCAGAACAGAGAACGTCCACTGAGACGCCGTGTGCTTGTTAGAAAGACAGGACCCGAGGGCCAGCCTCTAACGTAGTGACTAAGGGGACTGGGTCCCACCTGGCCGACTGCATGGTTCAAGTCCCAGACCTGGCAGCTTGGGAAGCGTGCTAGGCCAGTGTGCGTGAGACGGGACTGGAGGGAAGGGACGGCAGCGTGGCCACCCCCGGGGGCAGCCGCTCGCTTTGTCTCTCTCTGCAAGCTCATGTATCCTACGGGAAATGTGAACACATGGGGCTCAGATCTCAGGTGGCTTGAGGTTCTTCATGTGCACACTTTAATTTTCTCATTTATTTTTAGTCTATAACATCTGTTCTCGCTAGAGAGGCGGGGTGGGGGCTGAGGAATCGCCTGCTGGGGTTAGGGCCACTCCACGGTCCCTTCTCTAGGATTCTTGGGCGTGCATGCACATGTGCTTGGTGTGATTTTGAAGCTCCGAGGTCTGGGACTCGCACCGTGGTTAGCCATGTGGGAGTCCAGCACCTTAGCCAGCACGCCCCCTGCTGGCCCCAGTGTGCACATCTGAGCCCTGAGCAGTCAGGTACGGCTCCTGTTCTCTCAGGCCGGGGGAGTCGGGGACGTGCGGCCATGGCGTTGCGTCTCCTCCCAGCCCAGCCTCAGCAGCAGGTGCCCCTCCCTTTTGTCTTGAAGACAGATGCGCATTACTCCGTCCTGTCGCTGCTCCTGTGCCTGTCTGACTCTCCCTCCAACAGCAGTTACGTGGCGACACCAAGAGAGAAGGAAGTGGGTACGTGACCAGACGTGGCGGCGGCAAGGGAGGGGGAGATTGGTTTTATCCCTTGAGCGGAAGGTTGAACATCTGTGACCGTCAGTTTCTGTTGCCCGGGTGCTAGTGCAGTTACACAGTGTCATGTAACCTGTCGGGTCTGACTTAGGCGACCTCGAGTATGTGAAGAGAAATCTCACTTGGGGGAGCTAGTGAAGACGCAGACCGTGTTCGCTGACTAGGGTCTCGGGCGTTGTGACATTTCCCAGCTGCGGTCTCCTGAGTTCTCATTTCGAGGTCCGCAAAGACAGGCTCCTGTAGGTGGGTTTCTCAGGAGAGGCACAGCTGACAGCCTTCTCGCACATCGTAGAGGAGGAAGACGGTCCCGACTGGGGGAGATACTTGCTGGAAGGCGAGGAGATCGACCTCGGTCCGCGCGCGGACACACCCGTAAGTGGCAGCAGTTCTGCTATCGAAAATGCTGAACTTGCGGGGCCAGCACTGGCCCCCCACCCCACGTGAGTGACCACGTTTGAGTCTCGGACCCGGCAGCTTGCTTTCTTACTTTCTCTCTCTCTCTCTCTCCTCTGTCTCTGTCTCTTGGGTGAGCTCCTATGCCATGTAGAAAATTAAATACTAATAATAATAATGAAGAAAAGAAAGAAAATATCTAACCTGCCAAGTGAAACAACAGTTTCACTGGGTCCTCCTGCCCTGGAGCAACTGAGCTAACAGGGCCCTCCGCTAAGCCGGGCGGCTCGGCGGGCGACGTCTTAGTCTCCCTGAGCCATCAGTGGCAGGAAGTCAAGGGAGGTGAGTACGCGCGTCCCACGAGGAGCTGCCACCCTGGGACCGCCCTTCCTATACTCCACGCCTTCGAGACATTTAGGGGAATTGAGGCACGCTCAAGAGATTTGAGTTTTGTTTTGCTGTCCACGTTGCTTCAGAGGTTTTGCTTTGCTTGTGGAATTTTAACTTTTTTTTTTTTTTGGTAGAGGTTTTTACCTTAGGGACATGTGCTCACCAAATAGAGACAGTAAAAGGGAAAACGAGAAATGACCCCCTGGGGGGATGTCCACGCTGCAGTCCCTTCTCCCCCTTCTCCTCCTAGTGTCTTGGGCACGTACTCACACACACCTGGTGGCAGTTTCAAGCTTCTGGGTCCGGGACTCAAACCGTGATCGGCCAAGTGGGAGTCCAGCAACGGAACCGCTACACCGTCTTCTGGCCCCACACTTTCCACCTCAGTCGCTCTGGCGTTACGTTCTCGAGGTAACGTGTGTGTCCTTTTAAAATCAGGATTGGTCTGAAGAGAGTGAAGACGAAGATGACCAACAGCCGCTGAGCAGAGAGGACTCTGGGATTCAGGTGGACAGGACCCCACTAGAAGAACAGGAGCAGCACCGGGGACTGGGGCCTCCCACCAGCTGGAAAGGTCTGCGTGCGGTTGGGTGCTGGTGTCCCGTGTCTTCTGGGAGGGGACCCCGGGAGGAAAGGCAGGGTCCAGCCTGGTCCATGTTGACAGTGACATGTCCAGCACTGTTGACCGTCTCCGCCCTCCTGGCAGAACCGGCCTCTTTAATCCATTCGTGGGTACTTTTTATGTAGAATTAATATTGAAATGGGTACAGTTCTGTTCTTTTTTCCTTTCTTTCTCAGAACTTTGTTCGTCTTGAATATTTCCATTTATTTTTTACTGGGGAAGGACTGCTTTGCTGAAGTTAGTGAACAGGACGAGATGTGTACGGGTTGTCTGTTACTTTGAATGCCGGCTTTCTCAGCCCTGAGTGAGGAGCTGTGGATTAGACTCTGGCAGTCTGGGTGGAGGCGGAGATACTCCATCTGTTCTCTTGATTCATCTCATCCTGCTTTTGGTCAAATGGCCGTAACGTAGTTAAAGCTGAGCCACAGTTTTTTAATTTTTAAATATCCTATTGAGAGAGAGAGAGGGAGGGCCCCCTAGAGGGGATGAGCATGCCGCACTGCCTTCTCCTCCATCCTCCTCTTGGGATTTTGGGCGCACACACACGTGCCCATTGTGTTTTTCAGGTCATTGGGTCTGGGACTCAGACTGCTCCGTTGGTCATAGGGGACCTGGCCGCCTTAACCTGGGTGCCACCCGCTGGTCCTGGCTTCCTTTCCTTTTGGTTCTGGAGTTGGACCTTCAGGCGGTGCAGGTGCAGGTGCGGGTGCGTCGTCATCACCAGTCTACCGGGCCTTTAGTGTACTCCTATTTGCTTCGGCCGTCGCTCGCTCGCAGACCAGAGGGCTGGACGCGCCTCATCCGGAACAGCCGCGCCCCCCCAGCTCCGACGTGTGGTGGTGGTCGCGGTTTGGGCCCGTGGCCTTTGCCAGCTTGGGCAAGCCCTTCTCTTTTTTCCTAGGAGCCTCTGATCATAAATAAGTGTGAAACTTTAACAGAGGCTCTTTTTTATCTGCGATAACCCGTGATTTTCCTCTTTTACCCTGTTACAGCTCTGATCTTCTCATGTCAGATCATCCTTGGTTTCTCCAGCTGAGCCTCAGCCACTCTGTTTTTGGGGCATTACCACTGGGTTATCTATTCTTTAGTTCCATTCATTGATGAATTCCTTTTCTTAAAACCTCGTGGTCTGGTCTTAGCGTCGTGGTCATATTCAGTATTAGTCTCATAAAATGGTAGGCAGCTTTCTCTGCTGCTGTGTCCTGGAACAGTGCATCTAAGAGATTATCTAGTCCTTGAAAGTTGGGAAGCAGGGACCAGCGGGTGGCGTGGTGGTTAGGGTGCTGCACTCCCACATGGCCAGTTGTGGTTTGAGTCCCGGACGTGGTGGCTTGCTTTCTCTCTCTCTCTGGTGAGTGTGCATGCCATATAATAAATTAAAAATAATAATAATGAGGGGCCAGCAGGTGGCGTGGTGGTTAAAGTGCTGGACTCTCACATGGCTGACCATGGTTCAAATCCTGGACCTGGTGGTTTCCTTTCTCACTTTCCCTCTCTTTGTCTCTCTTTGGTCAAATAATAATAATAATAATAATAAAGTTAGACAGATAATTCTAAAATAATAGTAATGGGGACCAGCAGTTGGTGTAATGGCTGTGTCGCTGGACTCCCATGTCGTCGACCATGATTCAAGTCCTGGACCCAGTGGCTTAAACTCAGGCCAGGCGCATGTGCGTGCGTGCCCAGGATCCTGAGAGGAGAATGGAGGAGAAGGGATTGCGGTGTGGCCATCCCCCCGGGGGGGTGATTTCTCACTTTCTGTCTCTATGTCTCTCTCTTTCTGGCGAGTGCATGTGCCCTGTAGCAAAAACCTCTCCAAAAAAAATAATAATGATAACGATAAATAAAAATACAATAAACAATTGTGTTTTAAAAAAAGAAAGTTAAGAAGCAGTCCTCGGGATATGGGAGTGGTTGCGGAGGTCTTTGGTCACCATTGCAGTTCCTTTACTGGTTATTGGGCTACTGAAATAAACTGTCTGTGTCTTTTTGTTCATGGATCTTTTTTAAATTGAGCAATTAAAAAATATAAACTTTGTAGCCAGTGGCATTTAATTGAATTTGGGGTGTTATTTTAAATAGCCCTTCCCAGGTATGTATTTGGTGTTTGCTTTTTTGCGTGTTTGAGTTTTTGTAACTGCCAAAGGCGTGTGCACATGCTTGGAGAGGAAGCAGCTCTGGTGGGGCGAGGGCATGCCACCCACAGCCCCTTTCTCCTGTTTCGGCGTCCCATCAGGCTTTGGGGCACGCATGCAAATGCTTGGCATGTTTTTCAAGCCACCACAGCCAGGATCGGAACCACAGTCGGCCGCAGGGGAGCTGGCTCTCAGTGCACAGGGCTTACGCTGCAGTAGGGCCAGCCCCCAGTGTATGTTGGAGTCGTAGGCCCCGCGGTGTGGCAGCGTAGACTGGTGTGACTCGGACTCACTGCGTCTCTCTCCAGCAGATGAGCCAGAGGGCCGCAGGGGAGCTGGCTCTCAGTGCACAGGGCTTATGCTACAGTAGGGCCGGCCCCCAGTGTATGTTGGAGTCGTAGGCCCCGCAGTGTGGCAGCGTAGACTGGTGTGACTCGGACTCACTGCGTCTCTCTCCTGCAGATGAGCCAGAGGGCCGCAGCTGGTTGGAGCAGCACGTGGTGCGTCAGTACTGGGCAGCCCGGCCCACACGGACTCCTCACAGCTTGCACCTGCACGCCAACCTGGCTGCCGTCTGGTGAGAGGCCGAATGCTGCATCTTATGGAACGACAAGCTGTGGTGTTCGAACATCAGGCCTGGATTTGGGGTTTCAATCAAGAACTGTCCTGAAATGCGAACTTAGTGTTACTGTTTTTTCTAAAACAATTCTTTATTTTTGGAATTTTGCTATAGGGCGCATGCACTTGCCAGACAGAGACAGAGAGACGGTGAGAAATCACTTCCCGGGGGGACGGCCACGCCGCAATCCCTTCTCCTCCATCCTTCTTCGGGATCTTGGGCACGCATGCACACGTGCCCAGCGTGAATTTTAAGCCACTGGGTCCAGGACTCGAACTGCGGTCGACTACATGGGAGTCCAGCGACATAGCTGTTATGCTAACTGCTGGTCCCCTAAAACAATTCTTACTGAGCATTCTTTCTTTATTAAAATACTGAAATTACTGTTTATTTCTAATATTTATTTTGATTTTCTTGTTATTTTCGGTGTTAGTGGATTGGTCTATAATAGACCAATTGTGGTGTTTGTTTCAGTGCACTTACAAAAACACACTTGCTGTTCTCTGGAACATAGCATTCCGTAATTGCTGACTGTGACCACATCAGCGTAAACTAACCGTCGTTCTGAGAGTGCTGCTCTGAGAACGTCTCGTAGGTGTGTGGGCGTGAGTCTGGGCATCTCAGGCCGTGCTGCGGTCGTTGCTAGCTGGTCGCTAGCCCAGCTGGCGTCGTTGCACCTGTTCCTGCAGGCGGTTTCCCTCAGACGCCCTCCTGTCGACCTTTCCTCTCGTAGGGAGCAGCACCTGTGCAGCAGCGACCCGCTGTATGTGCCGGATGACAGGATCCTCGTTACCGAGACGCAGGTCATTCGGGAAACGCTATGGTAAGCGTGCGCGGGAGCCTGCTTCGTAGCTCGAGGGCTCCATGAGCGGGAAGAGAAACCTTTTGAAAAGAAAGCGGTGTGGGGGTTTTCCCATGCAGAGCAGAAGCAGGCCAGTGGCTGTGAAGTTCAGACTTCAGGCTTGACCCCAGGGATGATCAGGTTTTAATGTACTTGTGGGTTTTCCATTTCACGTAATAAAATGTCTGATTTAATTAGGTGAGCCCATCACTTTAAAAGAAACGTTTTTGGCTTTATTTATTCGTTCATTTATTTCAATCTGGAGCCCATCACTTTTCTCATCTCCGAGCCCTGAGCAGGGTGTGCTGCCTGCTGTGACAGGCGTGGGTCGCTGGGTGGTGCCAGCCCTGCCCTGCAGCGGGGCGTGGCCAGCCCCAGCTCTGACCTCAGGGATGGACAGCCCTGGGGCCCTCATGGCTGTGGGTTGCTCTGGCAGCTCTGTTTGGGATCTCACTCTAAGGCGCTGTTGAGGTAACGTGAGACTTCAGGTCATCTGAAACGATTTGTTAGTAGCTGGCCTTTTTGTCCCCCCAGATCTTCGGTGGAAATTTCTTAGGCACATTATGGTATTTTCCTAGACTTAGGGAACATCTGTCTTTGTATTTTCCTTTCAGGTTACTTTCGGGGGTGAAGAAGCTCTTCATTTTTCCGCTGGTAGACGGGAAGGTGACTGTGAGGAGCAATATTACAGTTTCCCACCTGACACAGGTACGTGCTCCGTTTGCCGCACTCGGGATTCATTCCAGGGGCCGGCAGGCGGCGTGCCGATTAGGGTACTGGACTCCCACATGGCTGACCATGGCTTGAAAATCACACCCGGTGTGCTTGTGCGTGCGCGTGTGTGTGTGCATGTGCATGTGCATGTGTGTGCGTGCGCACATGGAGAGTGAAGGAGAGGGATTGCAGTGTGGCCATGCCCCCTGGGGGTTGATTTCTCCCAAATCCTGACTTTCCCTCTGTCTCTGTCTGACAAACATGTCGGGCTGGCAGGTGGCATGGTGGTTTAGGCACTGGGCTCCCACCTGGCCAACCGTGTTTCAAGTCCTGCATCTGGCAGCTTGCTTTCTCACTTTCTCTCACTCTCTCTTACTCTCTCTCTGGTCAAATTAAAATAAATAAATATAAAGTTAAATAAGTTAATTCTTTTTCTTTTTTCTTTTTCTTTTTTCTTTTTTGAGAGGTTTTTGTGATAGGACGAGTGCGCTCGCCAGACAGAGACAGAGAGACAGAAAGCGAGAAATCACCCCCCAGGGGGGATGGCCACGCCGCAATCCCTTCTCCTCCATTCTCCTCTTGGAATCTTGGGCACGCACGCACACGTGCCCGGCATGAGTTTTAAGCCACCGGGTCCGGGACACGAACCGCGGTCGACTACGTGGGAGTCCAGTGATATAGCCATTACGCTAACTGCTGGTCCCAGTAAATTAATTCTTAAAAATAACTTCAGAACATTTCACAATTTTTAAATTGTTAAGTATACTTAGGATTTAAAAAGTAAAATTAAGTTATATATCTTTATAGTGCTTCAGATAAATTTTTAGTGTTGTTTGTGTGACATATTTAATTTTAATTTGCATTTTCTGCTTTTTATTTCTGTCATTCTGTATCGAGAAAACTAAGTAATTTTTTTTTGCCAATAGTATATCTTCCTTGTATATAGTTTTTTTTATATATAATTTATTTTGATTTTTTAAAAATTTATTCATTCGTTGTTTTTTTTTTTTTTTTTTTTTTTTTTTTGCGACAGAGACAGAGGGGGAGAGAGAGAGAGAGGAAATGAGAAAGAAAGCAAGCCACCAGATTCAGGGCTCAAAGCCTGGTCGGCCATGTGGGAGTGTCCAGCACCTTAACCACCACGCCACCTGCTGGTCCTGTATGTAGTTTTTACAGTGTGAGCTGTAGAGAGTGGTGCGTGGTCTGTCTCAAAGCCAAGCGCGCACTGTCACTGCTGTGCCCTGTGGGGTGGTGAGGGCACATTCCGAGCGTCGGCCGTAACTGACTGTGGCGTCCCCCCCAGAGCTGCTTGCGGTCGGTGCTGGAGCAGGTAGCAGCCTACGGCCAGGTGGTGTTCCGCCTCCAGGAGTTCATCGATGAGGTCAGGGGCCATGGCCCCGAGAGCGCGTTACCCGGGAGCGGCCCCGTCCCTAAGAAGCCCACCGAAGCTCCCTTCAGGACCTACCAGGCGTTCATGTGGGCCCTGTACAAATACTTCATTAGCTTCAAGGAGGAGCTGACGGAGATCGAGAAGTGCATCATCCGCAACGGTAAGCACGCGCTGCATTTACTGCGAGACCGCGCGACTCATGTGGATGGCATTGCGGCTATTAATACAGGCTTTGAAAGTCATGTCACAAATGAGGACTCTCAGGAGTGCATTCGTTTATTTATTTTTAATTGTAGTTATTATTTTTTTAAATTTGGTATAGGGCACGACACTCACCAGGAGAGCGTGCGAGAGAAAAGGAGAGAGCTGCCAGCTGTGGCCGTGTGGGAGTCCAGCGCCCTGACCACCACACCACCTCCTGGCCCCGCAAATGCATTTATTTTAAATACTATTTTAAATCTATTCATTTAAACTTCTTTCTTTTTTTGGAGAGGTTTTTGCTATAGGGCGCGTGCACTGGCCAGATAGAGACAGACAGACAGAAATCGAGAAAGGGGGGATGGCCACGCTGCAATCCCTTCTCCATTCTCCTCTCGGGGTCTTGGGCACACACGCACAGCGTGAGTTTAAGCCACCGGCGGTCAGCTACATGGGAGTTCAGCGACATAGATGTTACACTAACCCATGGCCCCCATTTAAATGTTTTATAGCTTTTTTTTGTTTTTAAGAGATTTTTGCTATAGGGCACATACACTCACCAGAGAGAAAGACATAAAGTGAGAAATCACCCCCCTAGAGAGGATGGCCATGCCACGATCCCTTCTCCATTCTCTTCTCGGGATCTTAGGCATGCATACATACATAACCAATGTGAGTTTCAAGCTGCCAGGTCCAGGACTCAAACCACGGTCAACTATGCATGAATCCAGTGACATAACCCTTATGCCGTCTGCTGGTCTCAGGCCATGTATAGCTTTTAAGATCACAAAGCACAGAGGGTTTGCAGTGAGAAATCACCTTCCTGCTCGTCCCCTCCCCGGAGGCAGGCCGGCCCTTGACTCCTCGTACACTTTGCAGACATACTTAAGGCATGCGGAAGCCAGGCGTGTGTATGTGTGCACATCCCAGTGGCTGCTCCCTCGCTCTCTCAAAGACTAAGCCATGAAAGCGTATGAAGAGCCCTTCTGCTCCTCCTTCCATGTGCCTCTGAAACCGCACACATGCAACACGGTGTTTGCAGGGCCTGTGCTCAGAACAGAGCTGGGGGTCGGGTGTGAGCACCTGCGAGAGTGAGCTGGGGAGTGCACACTGCTCTAGGGAGACCCGAGTGCGGTCGGCCAGAGTGTACGTGATCGCCCCCTGCCTTAACGAGGGTCGACTCGGGAGTCCCGACTGCCCTGGCGGAAAGCCGTCGGCCGTACTGAAACACGCTTCGGGGACCCATCCCACCGTCCTGTGCCCTGCTTCCGGGAGGGTAGACAGGATCCCATGCGCGTTGCTCAGTCCTCGGTGTGCTCCGTGGGCTTGCCCAACTCTAGGCCTAAGGACCTTTAAGGTGGCTCAGCTAAGCTGTGGTGGTCAGTAGGTGAGCTGTATTACGTGTGTTGGTTTTGAGTTTTACTAGAGGGCGCGTTTGCTTGCTGGAGAAAGAGCGAGGAAACGAGAAATCACTGGCTGTGGGCCTCGTCCTCATCCCCATTGCCATGAGGGATGGTGCCCAAGTGGACTCGAGGAGTGGGGTGGGGATCCGCCTTCGCTGCTCAGCGTGAGGCTGGCAGGGGCGAGCAGTGGCCCGAACCTGCCTGCCGCCTCGGGGTCGAGGTGGGCTCCAGCCTGGACCGTGGACCGGACCTTCCCAGGCTGTCCTCTTCCCCATGGCTGGGCACTGTGGAGGGAACGCAGGGGGGCTATGCTCCAGTCCCAGCTGGAGAAGGCGCATAGTAATTGCTTTTCGGATAGTCGAAAGTTAAATGTAGGGGCCGGCAAGTGGCATGGTGGTTAAGGGTGCTGGACTCCCACATGGCTGACCACAGTTTGAATCCCGGAACTGGCAGGTGGTTTTTTCACCTTCCATTTCTCTCTCTTTTTCTCTCTCTCTCTCAGTCCTACTCTGTCCTTCTCTGGTCAAATTAAAATAAATAAGTAGAATAAATAAAGTTAAATAAATTAATTCTTTAAAAAAAAAGGAAGTTAAATGTAGGTTTTAAACTGCGTGGGGCGTGGTGTCCTAACCTGCGATGTGTCCAAGGGTCAAGTGTATGTTATTTCTCCCTTGAGGGCAGGATTTCTTTTCCCTTAGAGAAACCAGTTCCTCGTGATGTGAAACTGCAATGCCAGCCCCTCCATGTTGCTAGGTCCTGGCCAGATAAGGGGCTTAGTGCTGACCTCTCTGCACGCGCAGGTCTGGTCCTGCTCCTGGCTGTGATCTGTCGATGTTCGCAGACACGACGATGACTCTCGCCATAGTGGTGGACAAGTTGTCGCCTCGACTGGCCCAGCTCAAGGTTCTGCACAAAGTCTTCAGCACCGGCGTGGCAGAAGTCCCTCCCGACACGCGCAACGTGGTCCGGGCGTCTCACCTGCTCAACACCCTGTACAAGGCCATCCTCGAGTACGACACCGTTGGGGAAGCCTCCGAGCAGACCGTACGTGGGCCTGTGCCCGTTGGCAGTGTGACCACCCTGCACGGCAGAGCAGCGGGGTGGCCTGCCGGAGTTTGTCACCTGATGCTTAGATCATGGCACGTCAGGCAGCTGCTCCGTTTAACATTAGCTTCCAATCGTGAGGCTGCGGAAGTTAGTCAGATCTGTAGAAGTGACAGTCACCCCGCCGCCTCGTGTGAGTATCCGCAGGAACCCTTTCCTGACGGACATGCACATCTCTTACAGGAGGCAGCGGAGGGAACCAGCAGTTAGCGTAATGGCTATGTCGCTGGACTCCCACGTAGTCAACCGCGGTTCGCGTCCTGGACCCGGTGGCTTAGAACTCACACTGGGCGCATGTGTGTGCGTGCCCAAGAGCCCAAGAGGAGAATGGAGGAGAAGGGACTGCGGCATGGGCATCTCCCCTGGGGGGTGATTTCTCACTTTCTATCTCTCTGTCTCTGTCTGTCTGGCGAGCGCACATGCCCTGTAGTGAAAAACCTCTCAAAAAAAAAAGCAGCAGAGTAGCCCCACGCCCACACTCGGGGCAGAGCGAGTGGCAGTTAGCTGGGCCGGGCTCGGGACATGGGGAGCCGCTGCTTAGCGGGTACAGATAGGTACGGTGTGCGTCACGGTAACCTGGCGACAGGAGCTCTGACGCTGCCTTGTCCCCGTCCCCGTCCACAGGTCTCCCTGCTGTTCTCTCTCTGGGTGGACACGGTGCGACCCTACCTGCAGACGGTAGACGAGTGGATCGTGCACGGGCACCTGTGGGATGGCGCCAAGGAGTTCATCATCCAGAGGTGAGGCCATGCACCGTGTGTATGTGTGTGTGGGGGGGCTCCTGGAGCTCCGTGTGGGAGTTCATCATCCAGAGGTGAGGCCGTGCACCGTGTGGGGGCGCGTGGCTCCCCGGGCCTCCGTGTGGGAGTTCATCATCCAGAGGTGAGGTCATGCACCGTGTGTGTGTGTGGGGGGGCTCCCGGGGCTCCATGTGGGAGTTTATCATCCAGAGGTGAGGCCGTGCACCATGTGTATGTGTGTGTGTGGGGCTCCCAGGGCTCCATGTGGGAGTTCATCATCCAGAGGTGAGGCCGTGCACCATGTGTGTGTGTGGGGGGGGCTCCCCGGGGTTCCGTGTGGGAGTTCATCATCCAGAGGTGAGGCCATGCGCCGTGTGGGACTGGATGCTCTCGTTAGCTTCGGCTGGCGCGAGTGGCAGGGCTGGGTCAGCGCCCCACATAGGACATGGGTGCGGCAGTCAGAAGTGCCTGTGTCCGCAGCCTGTCTGGGAAGCCCTTCTGAGGGAGAGTGCTTATGGCTGGCTGGGTCCCACGGGTCTAGGGACACCCAGCAGCATCAGCTGTTCCCGTTATAAGTTACCAACAGGACGAAGACACGGACTGTCACAGATACCGTTACTCTGTACCTCCTCCTCAATTTGCTGGTCATTTTCTACGCTCAAGGTGTAATACTTACTGTAACGATATTAAGGAAAACCCAAAAGGGAGTCTTCATGACGATTCCTCTTCAGCTGAGTTTTCTGAACAGAATCACATAAACTCCCCTTGGAGCTTTTTTTTTGTGAGAGGTTTTTGCTCCGGGGTGTGTGCGCTCACCAGAAAGACAGAGACAGACAGAAAGCGAGAAATCACCCCCCAGGGGGGATGGTCACGCCGCAATCCCTTCTCCTCCATGCTCCTCTCGGGATCTTGGACACGCACGCACATGCACCCAGCGTGAGTTTAAGCCACCGTGTCCAGGACTCC